CTTTCAATAAAAAAAATATATGTATGATTCAATTATTATGTATCAATAAAACATTGTTCAATTCCATCACATATTTTATTCATTTAATACCCATGTTAAATTTTTCATTTTCAAATTAAAAAACAAATTAAAAATCACAGGAATACTTGGGAACTCAAACAAGAATATAGGCTTTATGCAGCTGATAATCTAAGTAGGGAACATGAATACTTTAACTCATTAAGTCCCAAGAGGACGTTTTTTCAACACTTCATTCGGCCACTGTATTTTTGGTGTAAATGGGGTCAAAAAAATATGCGAGTAACTAATTCTAATGTAAAATTTAATGCCCTTTCAGAATCTGATCTCAGATTTTTGAAAAAGTGATCAGGTAAAAAGTTACACTTGATTTTACCCAAAAAAACATGATTTTTAAAAAAAAATTTTTTTATTTTTCGAATTTCCAAATGAAAACCATTAGAAATCTTAGGGGTATCGTGCAAATATTGCGTCCTCGATACCTAAACTAAAAGTTAGTGGGGTTTAGATTGAAGAAAATAAAGTTAAAAAATACACTTTTTTCTCAAGTCCTTCGTTTTTGAGTAAAAATTGTATAAGTTTTCATTTAATTTTGCTAGTTTCGACTGACATTTTTTGTGTTTAAACATTAATTTTTTCAATCGGTACTCCGCTAACTTTCAGTTTAGATATCGAGGACCCGATATTTGCACGAAACTCTTTAGATTTCAAATGGGTTTCATTTGGAAATTCGAAAAATAAAAAAATTTTTTTTTTAAAAATCATGTTTTTTTGGGTAAAATCAAGTGTAACTTTTGACCTGATCATTTTTTCAAAAATCTGAGATCAGATTCTGGAAGGGCATTAAATTTTACATTAGAATTAGTTACTCGCATATTTTTTTGACCCCACCCTTATAAAAATTTACTATAGGATCTCGCGAAATTCCTACAGGAGTCCTATAGGATTCCAATAGGAATTTCGCGGGATCCTATTGGAAATTTTTATAAGGGCATTTACACCAAAAATACAGTGGCCGAATGAAGTGTTGAAAAAACGTCCTCTTGGAACTTAATGGGTTAAAAGTATAAATATGTTTAAGTAGTAATAATTAAATTTTTATATTTTAAATTTTCTGTATGAATTTCATAAAAACATTAAAATTCACATTATATGTGTCCACAAGCTTTAGATAAAAATAGAAAATAACATGACCACTAAAATCATACAACTTCTACAACTATCGATAACCTTCTGCTTTCTACCATAAATATGAATTGAACAGATGATACACTTGTTGTTCTTGACAAATACTTAAATAGTAACGACCAAAATGCTAATCTTTGAATAATGAGATACGTAAGACAGTTTATTTCAAATGTATGAAATTCTAGAAAAAACAAAAAAATATAATCAAGATTTGAAATTGGCGAACCCTTGATGGTTTTTAAATAAGAAAAACATCTACATGTTAATTTTGCAAAATAGAATTGCTATCTCGAAAATTATTCATTTTTTTCCAAGAATAGTGCTGCAAAATTTCAATCACTTAGATTGTAATAAAAGCTGATATTGAATTGATTCGTAGCCATATGTTGCACTTTATAATTTATTATGAATTGTGGATATGAATTGAATTCATGATTTTATAACCATGTTCAATTTGTCTTTTACAAATTAAAAACTCAATTAAAAATCAAACATTATAATTTGATCATGTTACCTTCTCATTTTTATGTTATATTCTTCTCCACTGCCATGGAACAGCTCCAGCTGGTGAAATGAAGTATTCTGACAATCTATTCCTTACTTCAATGGCATTGAACTGCATTGGAGCATTAACTTCTACTTGGATTTCTTCATTAAATCCAATTGGCGCATCAATCCAATGATTGACAAATCCCCGTTCTTCTCTTGAGTCGATTGTAATCTTATAATTTTGCAGGCATACAGTAGACATAATGATTTGTTCACTTCGGAAGGAATTTGTATTTTGATAAAAAAATGAGCCTTAATTGTTTTCATATTTTTCAAGGCTTCTGTAATGAACCATTTTCTTGGCCCAATTACTTCTATAATAAAATAAACTTACCATTGTCGCACAACCCTAGCATAGTGTGTAGGGATGGGTTAATAATAAAATATTAACATTCATATCTTTTAATGCACACTCTGTGATCTTCGACAGGGTCGTTGTCTGGTTGTGTGTAGGCTGCTGCCGTAGGGTTAAAGGTGGCTGTACGTTGATGGATCTAGGAACTCTTAATCTGCTGAGCAGTAGGTGCCGTTGAGGTACTGTAGCTGTTAAAGCTAGCAGATTTGGTGTTCAGTCTATTTTTACCACACTTAAACTCTCACTTGCAAACACTTGAACTTTTAAATAGTAATTACAAAATTCGATCGCGCAGAGCTTCGCCCTTGTTAACAGTTGTAAGTCTTATGATTTTCTGGCATAGCTCCGCTGTACTCAACAGTAATATCTGATCTGCTTCCGAGCTTGACTTTTGCCCAGCTTATATACTATACACTTTCATTCTTATGCGTCAACATGTTCCACCCTTGTTTACTGAAAAGCAGAGGAAAGCGCATGTCGCAATATAAATGCTATTTTTGTTAATTCGCCGAATTATGATGAACATTGTTATGTCTGGAACTATTATCGTACATTTTCAATACTGTTTGACGAATGGTTATGCCCTTTAATATATTTCCATTCTAGTCATAAATCTTGCACATGCTCATATACATTTCATTTCGTACATTATCATTTGAACACACTAACATATGTATTCTCATACTTGTTAATATACTCATACCAATCAGCGCTTGCTCAAGCGTGCGAGCATTCATATAATGTAGCGCTTGCTTATGCGTGTGAGCACTCATACTGTATCGCGCTTGCTTGTTCGTGCAAATACTCATACAGAGTCACGCTCGATAATACGTATGCCCATAAGGCTGCTTCGTTCTTATCTGAACGTAAGAGATGTACAATTCTGCACGCTACTTGTGACGTGTAATTCTTGCTAAGGCGTTTATAAAATAGATGATCGATAAATCGTTACACTTCGTATCGTTTACGATTAAAGATTTGCTGGAATTGTAGTAAAGCCATTGAAAAATGAACGTAAAGCATTTTGTTGAAAATTTTATAATATTTCCTTCCAATTTTGCAAGCAGCGGATATGTTACAGGCAAAACCTGCTTTTAGGCAAAAACAGAAATGCCTATGATTTTAGGTAATAATAACCGCAGTTTGTGAAAAAGTATAGGAAATTCCTAAAATTCTTAGGCAAGCGTAGTCGTCTCAAGCATTTTCGTTTTTAAATAATTTCGCATTAAAAATCATTTGTAACACTGATAATAATTATTGAATTCTTTTACATAATAACGATTATTTTCAGTTATATTTTATGCAGTAACAGGGTGTCACTAAAGTACGAATATCTCGCACGTATTTTTACGTCCAACATATTTTTCGACGAGGAATCTAATCTTGACCTTGAACATAACCTCTAAGCTACAGCGAACCTATTATCGATTTTTTGAATAGTTTCCTCTATTGTAGTCTGCAATTAAATCATCTTATTGGAGCGAGAAAAATTCTGGAGTGCTCATTTACTATATAAAATTTAATGTACTTTTTGAATATGGGTTTATAATTACCCTTCGATAAATATTAAGAAAGTTATAAACAATTTACTGCAAAATGACACGATTTTGAATCCTGAAAAAAACTTTGATTCAAATTTTTTTTATGAAAGAGACTTAAACTTTGGCCAATAATACCCAGAATTGTAGAATGATAACTTAAAGTTTAATTTACCGTAGGTGAGATTTGAATATTCAATAAATTTATTTTCTAATGTTGATCGTTTTCGACTCAGGAAGTACATTTTGTATACATTTTTTGGTAAATTTTTTTGGAAAAGTTAATTTTTTGGAGTACACAATTGTGAATATTCAAATTCCACCTACAGTACTTTAAACTGTAGGTTATTATTCCGCAATTTTAGGTATTATTGGCTACATTTTCAGTCTCTTTCATAAAAAAAATTTGAATCAAAGTTTTTTTTCAAGATTCAAAATCGTGTTTTTTCGCAGTAAATTGATTATAACTTTTTAATATTTATCGGAGGTAATTATAAACCCATATTCAAAAAGTACATTAAATTTTACATAGAAAATGAGTACTCCAGAATTTTCCTCACTCCGATAAAATGATTTAATTGCAGACTACAATAGAGAAAAAAATTCTGTCCGTCTGGGCATTAACGGGTTAAGGGCGTAACAGACTCAATTAAAACCCCTGTTTAACCTAAAAAAATAAAGGCTCAAGTCAGGACTTTTTTCTAACTGTAGCGCCCCCATAATGAAACAAAAAAAAGGTATGACTAAGAGTCAATAAGCAATTGGTGTTCAGTATACACACTCTGCTTTGGGAATAATTATTCCTCACATACGCACAAAAAATCAATAACTACGAAGTAAACACAGTCAATTCAATAAATTTTGTCAGTGTTACAAATGATTTTAAATGCGAAATTATTTAAAAACAAAAATGCCTAAGCCGACTTAAGCATTGGTAGGTTTGCCTGTATTTTTCAGGCATTGCGGGTTTGCTTGAAAATTTTAGGGAACTTCTTTAATTTTTTAGGAATTGCGATTATTACCTATAATCTTAGCCATTTCTGTTATTGACTAGACATAAGCGGGTTTTGCCTAAAAGAGGGTTTTGCCTAAAAGCGGGTTTTTGCCGGTAACAGTTATATAACACCCGAAAATAAATGTTACTTGTACATTTTTGTAGATCAGAAGAGATATTACAAATGTGCTATTTAAAACTTGCAAAAATTTATAATCTTGCAATTACTTTGTTCGTAACAATTATGTGTATTGCTTTCGTTTCTTGGTTTTTTTTAATCACTCATGATTCTAATGATAACTCACTTCGACTTATTCTTTATATTATGCATTTACAAATAAAAAAATTTGTGTTTCAGGTAAAAAATACCTAGATTATACGTGCGAACTCAATTCATGTACGAGAAACTTTGTTGAAGTTTATAAGTTTCTAAAGAAATCGATATAATTTGATAATTATTATTCAATTGGTTGTGATCTTGTGAAATTTTTCCCGTTAACTAATTTTTTGTAAATCAAATAAGAGTTCATGCTACTCATCGATTTCTTTCTGTTCAAACCTTCACTATTATTTGACTATTGCAATTGTCATGATTTGTAGAAAATAATACTCTTTATTTTAAAATGAGCAGAAGTCAAATAAGTGACTTCACCATATTTATCTTATCCTATTTACTAATTATTTATTTAACGAGAGCCGAAAACTTGTCACAATGTCCCACAATTCAAGAAATGATTCCATGTTCTTGCACAGTGAAGAAAAATGGCTTGGATGTTATTTGTGAATTCACTGATTTCAAACACATAAGTAGAGCAATGGATAGTTTGAAAAAGCGGCAAAACTCTATCATCTTCTACCTAAAGTTGAGACACAATGATTTACCAAAGCTACAAGGGTTTGTTTTCCTCGGTTTAAACATTCATCACTTGACTATACACAACAGCAGTCTTGCCGTCATAGAAGAAACATCACTATCGTCAATTGGTAAGTCAAATAAAATTGAGTATCCAGAAATTAAAAAATGATCTTTTCAGCTTTTTCAGAGAAATTTCGCAAATTTTGTTGCTTCCCGATAATGAAGACACAAAAACTATTTATATTTATGTCGGGCTCTCTTATTAAGCTCAACAAATATGAAATAATATTAAATATTCTTTAACGCATTTTCATTAATTTTTTTTGACATTAATTTCTTTCTTTTAAAATTAAATTTGACTACCTAAGCTAGACGAGATTGCGCTTATTCACATTTATCTGTTTTTTAGTTTTTAGTTTTTAAATGGTTTTTTATGGGCTTCGTAAATTATATGCATCGTGCTACATTAATGTACTATAACGGGAAGTTGATCCATAGGATCCGCAGGACGGAGGAGCAGATTGGGTTCAGCTGAGGGAATAGTCGTGCTTGTTATTTTACAATAAATTCATTTATTTAATATTAAAGCTACGGACACACACAATAATTAGAATTGAATCAGGCAATGGCCTGTATGAATAAATAAAGCAATAGATTAAGTTGGCTTATGCCAAAGATAGTATACGCGCGCACGACTATGATCTCGGCGAGCCGTTGCTCCGCTCAGTGTGCTAAGAGAGAGAGATTACTTTTTAATTCGAACAGGTACTTACAATTGGCAATCGGCCTCTCGGGATGGCTCGCTTGGCACCCTCGTGTCGTAAGGCACTTGCACAAAAAACCGTGACTCGACTTTTACTCTAATTTGCAATCGCGAATTTACAATTAATTAATATGGCAAGCGTATGCCTATTAAAGTAGTAAGCGGTATCACAGCTCGTAACAGTCTCCGCTCGCGGCCTGTCATTCATAGGCGCGAGCCCCGAAAACCTCTCTCTCCCCCCTCATCGCACACCAACGGCGCCGCGACTCGTCGGCCGACGATCCGTCATACTGAAATAAACTCACATAATATTTATAATTATTATATTTAATATCAATTGCCGGGAGAGAGTCTAACGAATACTATATTCGTTACAGTACATAATGTATTACAGATACTTGGCTGTACTTAGCTATTACTATAGAAGTTTTTATTGTTAAATCCAGAATAACTGGTACTTTATTTACAAAATGCAGTGTGACGAAGCTGTTATGTACCGGGGCGTCAATTGGTCGCAGGGGCTGATGCGCAAGCGTGCAGACGACGCAGATGGAGTCGGTACAGTAGTGATGATCCTGATCGGCCGTGGAGGTAGGTTCGGTTCTCAATTAACACGTTGAAACGCGAGGACGACACACGTGCACTCCCGGTGGTGATGGTACGTACGAGGACAAAATAATGACCTCAAAGAAGTGGGCCGACGTTGCCTCGACTCTCGCAAGGAGGGCTACGTCGGGAGAGGTCACGTCGACGAAGTGCAACGGAATCGTTGCTACTCGTCGCACACGTGCTCCGCTCGTTCGAACAGCAAGTCGGAGCTTGCAGGGAGAGGTCGATGACCTGCGGGTCGTGAGACTCCGGTAACGCAACTCTTTCCTCTGGACGATCTTGCTCTAACCGAAAGTCAAAAGGACATCCGCCTAAATTGATACCCGAACAAGAGGTTGACTAAAGAGATGGAAAGAGGGAGTATTGGCACTCGAGCGTCAGAGTCTCGCACCGGGATATTCTCCCGTGCACGAAGCTGTGGCGATGAGGGACTGTGACACTCTCGTTCGATGGACTATGTCCGGTAATTAGCTCGGAGGCTAAGTTCGCTAAACACTTTAAAGACTAAGTTCGCTAAGCAACTCAGAAACTAAGATCGCAAAATAACTCAGAGGCTAAGTTCGCTAATTGCTCTCGAGACTAAGTCCACTAACTAGCTCTGCGGCTGAGTCCTTCACGGATATGCTCCTAACAAAGTTCAAGTCCAACAGAGGTTCGTCAATGTAATCGGTTCGCAAGTCTATGAGCAAGAGCTGGGGTAGTTCTCGGTTGGTCGTTCAAGAGTGAATGATACTGCAGCGAAAAACTGCGCTCAATATATACTCGTCGGAAAATCGGTGGGGCGAGGGAGAAGGGAAGGAATAGCCACCTTAAGGGTGATCAGGCCGCCGGTTCAGATAGCTCAAACGCACTGTGGCTGTAGGGTAAGGGAAGGAGAGTGCCAATGGTCTTGCAGTAGGCGGAGCAACGACTGCGTCGGTGCCGCGGCAGAGTTCGGTTTGCGCGTCTGAACCTGCATCGGCGGTGCCGTTGTATCTATTAATGACCCTACGGGCTCGTGCGAGCTTGCGGGTATACGAGGGTTGCGTTGGTGCTTGCGGTTCTGTTTTATCTGAGCGTATGTGCATCAGCAGCTGCTCTTTCATCTGAGCGTATGCGCGTCGGCAGCACTCTTTCACCTAACCACCCGTCCAAGCGTGCTCTCGACGAGACGGATGGTTGCGGTGCTCTTTGATGTGCGCCAGCGGTGTGATGTGTGTCTACTCGAGTGGCATATCTCCTCATTCCTGCTTCCTACTAGTTCGACCCTCGGTCTTACCTACGGTCGGTAAGGCAGGTTGCACCTGCATTTCCGAGGTCGCTGCTGCGTGCGTTGTGCTAACGAGGCGGTCATTATAGTCACTGCCCCTCGCTCATGCGTCATGCTGACGAAGCGGTCAGTACACTACAAAGCACACGCCTGCAAATTTCAGCGTCGCACCTGACCCAAGGCAGTCCGTACACCGGCGCAACGCGAAGAGAGATCTCGCCACGAGAATGCACGGATGAATGATTTCGCGTACTTTCCTCGTAGCCTAGATTTCAGGCTAAGAAGAAGATGAGCTGAGCAGATCGAGAACGCAACACCGAGGCCAAAAGCAACGAACCGCATCTCGAGATTCTACAAGCCTAGGCCGATTAAAAGCCTGCAAGCCGCGTAGCAATAGCAGTAGAGTCACGCGCCTACGGCGCAATCTACTGCGCCACAGAGAAAGCCCGCCAGGCAGATTACCACGAGCCGAGCAAGTGTGCACACGTGTCGAGAAAGCAAGTGAAAGGTTTAGAGTGAAATTTGTTTAAAACAAAACGAAGCAGTACGCGACTGTCCAAGTCCTCGGCGTGGAGAACTCACCGACGATAGAGAGTGTAAACAAGTGCGAGTGTTATACGGAAGGCGCGGATTGTGCGAGTGCCAAGGCCTACGCCAAGAAAGTGAGGCTAGTTTCCCCCTCGAGAAACACGGCGCGATCCGAACTCGATAGCCACCTAGGCCAAATAGCGAGATTCTGTCTAAAGTGACTGCAGCCGAAGGCCACGGTAGCAGAGAAGTTTGTCAAGAACATCGTCTACGAGAAGAGCCGGTGAAGAGGTTAGCGTTTAAGTTATTTAAATGGTTGGTCACTTGGCCGTGTGCATGATTGCCTCATCGTGCTCGTGCGTGTATAAAGTGTGTGTGTGCGTGTGAGTGTCGTCGCAGCGGCGGCGAGCTCATTGTGTGTGTGTGTGTGTGAATAACACGGCAGGCTGCTGTGTTGCATTGCGGGGAGAACACGCAGATGTACGGCAGCATATACGCGGTCTCGTAAGTTTAGCCACGCGGATACAGCCGAGCTCGATCGATCACGCGTACGTAGCGACGGACATTTTGGCCAAGTAGAAGAACGTCACGAACGTAACCTATTGCCGCGTAGCAAAGGTTCTGCCACGGAAGACAAACGAGAACGCCACCAGCGCACCTGGTGGCCAATGTTGAAAGCTAAATAAAGTGACTATATTTTGAAATTGAAATTGCGAGTCATCGTTAATTCACCATCATGTTGTAAATTGTCCAGATTTCTTACTTTTCAGGGAATAAAGTAATTTCACGGAATAGCACAGATTTTCGCGGAGTTCACGATAAATTGAGATTTCCTCGGCCAAAATCGAAAGGTGAGTTACTTGGGCCAACAGCTCGGCCAAAACTCGGCAGAAGGCCCAGAACCTCCTTGGAGAGTTTAGCGTAAGTACGAAAGGTCCCAATAATAAATTCTTGTCGACGGCATTTGAGCTGGGTCTTACCCGATAAGGCCGATTTGCACGAGTGCAAAAACTGCGAAGCTCGAATATCATAAAAGAAAGAAAAAAAACTGATAAGGTTGGGAGGAGAAGGGAGTGTGTATCAAGATAGTTCTGAGATAATCTTGGCAACATTCTCATCTTTCTGTAGTAGCTAAATTTTCTCAGAGCAGTTTTGTCTACTCAGTATTCGTTTAGACGTTAAGCTGAACAGACGTGTTTATGCCTAATACCTTATACCTAATAGTATATATACAGTACATCTAATTAATATTCAATAATAAACAGTCTCCGTGCTAACTAGAGAATAATTCAATTTCCGTAATGTCGGGCCAAGCGGGCGATCAACACACTGCCCGCGATGAAGCCAGACCACCCTCGAACTGGGTAACTCAAACCCGAAAAAGATCTAGAAACAGTCCAGAAAACAAGTTTGTCCCGATCAAGAGACAGATGACGTTGACGGGCTACTGGCTTTCAAACCCATTACCAACGAAAAATTCGTTCTCGCCTCTGGAGAATGAAAGTCCAGAAGACGGAGTTGTAGAGGCCCAGAGCGAGGACAGAGAGATGGCGGCAGAGAGTAATCCTACCGATACAAAAATTAAACCTCCACCGATATTCATAAGTGGTGTCAAAAACGTAAACCCTTTGAAATTAAAACTGAGTGAAATAGCAGGTAAAGAGTATTACATTAAAATCCAAAGTAATGACTCAGTTAAAATCCAAATGTTGTCTGAACAACATTATAAAGCCGCGATTGAAATGCTTAGATTGCAAAAAACCTCATTCCACACATACCAATGCAAAAGCCAAAAAGGCTTCAAAGCAGTTTTACGTAACATGCATCCATCAGTTGAAATCGCAGAGATTAAAGAGGCTATCGAGGAGTACGGTCACTCGGTAGTAAAAATATCTAACATCAAACAGGCCGTGTCCAAAAAACCACTCCCTCTTTTCTTCGTGGAATTAAAAACCGATATAAATAACAAAAAAATCTTT